AATCCTGTCGTCGGAATTTTCCGATAACATCTATCCCTCGGAAGTTTTCATCGGTAAAATCCGAGGGAATTCCGAGGAAGCGTCTGACGAAATCGTTTCTCGGAATGTCCTCGGAATTGTGGTTCTCGGTATTTCCTCGGAATTTTCCGAGGAAATTCCGAGGAAACTGGAATTTCCGACGAAAATTTTCCGACGACCTATGCCGTCGGTATATCCTCGGAATACCTATATTCCGACGACATTCCGACGAATTTTTCCGTCAGAATCGCCGTGTTTTCTTGTAGTGGAAGAAGACATTAAGGTAGTTTAGTATGTTATTTGGAGATTAATTGAAACTAGTGGTACAACTATCTTGTGTTATATATTCTGATAGCTTGTATTCTTCCTCTTCTTGTTTCTATGGTGTTCATAAGAGCTTTTGTCTTTATGATTTTTGCAGGCTGGGAAGCCTCATGCCAATCAGGATACCCGTTTGAACTATAGGGTGATTGATCTCAGAACACCTGCTAACCAAGCTATCTTCCGTGTTCAGAGCTGGATTCAAATTGTAAGCCTTCTTTAGTATTTGATATGCAACATGAAGGACTAGGTCTTACCGTTTGTGTGTGTGTTTAATATATATTAGTAATACATATGAGCCTTATTAGAACTGTCCTAATAACATTTGTGGCAAAAGAAAAGAAGAATATTTAATTGATTTCTTGGATGTTTGTTGAATAAATTTGTGCAGACATTCAGAGAATTCTTACTATTGAAAGGTTTTCTCGAAATCCACACACCGAAACTGTTGGCTGGTAGCAGTGAAGGTGGTTCTGCTGTGTTTAGGCTTGACTACAAAGGGCAGCCTGCTTGTATGGCTCAGTCTCCTCAGCTTCATAAACAGATGGCAATATGTGGTGACTTTGAACGAGTCTTTGAGGTTGGTGCTGTTTACAGAGCTGAAGACTCGTTCACTCATAGACACCTGTGTGAGTTTATTGGTCTTGATGTGGAGATGGCGATTCACAAACACTACTCTGAGGTAATTTAGAAATATAATTTCCTCTCATGTATGTATATTCTGCCACTGGTGATAATTATTTGTTGGTTGTGCAGATTATGGATGTTGTGGGGGGAGCTGTTTCCGTTTATATTCAATAAAATAAACGAGAATTGTCAAAATGAACTTGAAGCTATTAGGAAGCAATACCCATTTGAGCCGTTAAAGGTAACCATTATAAGCAAGTAGTACTATTAGACCATGATTATCCTTGAAATTGTTTAATGGGTTTCTTTAATTATTTTTTTTTAGTCTGATTAAAAAATAATTAAAAAATTAAAGAGTGAATCAATCGCGAGCTGCTATGTATCATTGTGGTTTGCTATAGTGCAAGATACGGACCAAAAACGGTCTTTATTTCATGTCTTTTGAAACCGATTTTTAGGTATTTTGTGGGATTCAGCCTATAAAATTTTGTAAAAAACCTCTTAAAGACCCGCGATATTCATGCTCTTAGGAAGCTGAGTTTTCTTTTGTATATTATTATATTTTGATTATTTGCGTTAAACTTGCAGTTTCTTCCACAAACATTGACTATAACCTTTGCAGAAGGTATTCAAATGCTTAAGGTAAGACTAGTCTTCTTTTTTTTTTTGCATTTGACTTGATGAGTTACTTGAAATGGACTATCTTGAATCTTGACGTGTTTACAGGAAGCTGGTGTGGAGGCTGATCCTCTTGGAGATCTAAATACAGAAACAGAGAGAAAACTTGGGCAGCTAGTTCTGGAGAAGTACAACACAGAATTCTACATCATGCATCGTTATCCTTCTGCTGTTAGGCCATTCTACACTATGCCATGTGCAGACGATCCTAACTACAGCAACTCATTCGATGTCTTCATAAGAGGTTCATTCATCTTTGAATTCTCTCTTTCTTTTATCTTATGTGTAAAGTTCACATTTTAAATATTTTATTTGCGGTTTATATGTCCCTAGGTGAGGAGATCATATCAGGAGCTCAACGTGTACATGACCCAGAAGTCTTGAGGGAACAAGCAATAAGATTTGGGATTGATGTGGAGACAATAAAAACATACATCGATTCATTCAGGTAATAAACCACAAACTGAACTAGTTTTGGTTCCTAATTACTGATTATTAGAGTTGATGACGAAGGCTACAATATAATATAATGTTTACAGGTACGGTACACCACCTCACGGTGGATTCGGAGTGGGACTGGAGCGTGTGGTGATGCTGTTTTGTGGCCTCAACAACATCCGCAAAACATCTCTATTCCCTCGTGACCCTCTAAGGCTCGCTCCTTAAATATCTTTTCATCTCAAAGCTAAAGCGTGGATCCTTTTTCTCATGGATATGTTTGGGAGTTTTAATGGATTTATATAGTCTCTGACTGATTCTTGCACTATAAGTGCAATTGAAACTTGATTTAGTTATGTGATACTTATGCTTCATTCGCATTACCGAGTAAACTTCATTTAGTAGCACTCATGAGACGAATGCACACAAACAAACAAGAAAGTATCGAACGGTAACATAATCAAATTATAATATGCAATCAGCAATAACCCCATAATTTTAGATGATTTAATATAATATTTTTTAATTATGTATAACATTAATATATTTCATGTTTAGAACTGTATTAAATACATAAATAGAATATATAAATTTAATATTGTATAATTTTCATCAAAATTATGAGTATAAATTATATTTATCAAATTTTTGATTAAATAAATATATTAATAATTATCAAAAGAAATTATGTGATCTCTGTCCAAACAAATTAAAATCGGACATCCAATTTTTTTTGAAACGATTTGACATAAATCCAGTTTAACTTAACTTTAGACTAAAAACCGAAATAAGATTAAAATATATAAAGATATTTTATCTGAATCATTTAAATCCAAACTATTTTTTTATTTGATAAAGATCCGATCCGACCCGACTCGGGTTTTAAACAGATAAACCTCAGAGAGGTAAACCCTTCACATTTTCTTCACCAGAAATCACCTTCCTCCTCCGCCATTAACGAACTCTTTCTATATTAGTTAAATTTATGATATAAATCATATCCCTAAAAAATCACTCTTTTAACTCTAAATCCTTAAATTTATATTAGTTAAATTTTTGATATAAATACATGTTTATTTTTTAATAAAACTTCTTTTTGATCATTTTTTTTTCATTAAGTATTATTTTTGTGAAAATAAACAAAAAGAAATATTAGAAATGCATTAGCTAAAATCAGCAATGACCTTACTCTGCAGCTAGGATCCGGATTTCTTATTTGGGCCACGAAAACCCGAACCAAAAGAGATCCGACCCGACTCGGATTTTAAACAGATAAACCTCTGAGATAAATAAAAGAGAATATTGGCTGAAACACTCTATCAGCCTCCCATATTAGTGAAATGCCCACGATTTGACATTACTAATTTTTAAGACCAAATTGCCCTTCCTTTTACATGTGACTCTTTCTCTCTCCTGACACACTCTCTCTCCTGACACACACTCTCTCTCTCTCCAGACACACTATCTCACACTCTCTTTCCTTTAGTTCCTCTTCTTTCTCATTCTCAAACTCTCTTATCATTTTAATTCTTTCTTTTTTTTTTTGTAAAAATTAATTGTTGCGAAAAAATTTATTACAATTTTATTATTATTCTTTTGAATCTAAATTATTTTAATTTCACCACATTCTGAAAAAATCAGCATTGAAGTTTTTTTAAAAATCGCCGAGATGTTAACACTTATGTTAGCTGTTAACAAATAATGTAGATGTCAACAAAAGTGTTAACTGTTAACAAATACATGTACCAGATGTANATTCTGAAAAAATCAGCATTGAAGTTTTTTTAAAAATCGCCGAGATGTTAACACTTATGTTAGCTGTTAACAAATAATGTAGATGTCAACAAAAGTGTTAACTGTTAACAAATACATGTACCAGATGTATTAACAGAGGCATTAACTGTTAACAAATTTTGTAACTGTTAACAGATGTGTTAGCTGTTAACAAAAACATGTATTACAAGTGCTAACAGAGATGTTAGTTGTTAATAAATTTTGTAGATGTCAATACATGCGTTAGGTATTATATATTAACAAATAAATATTGTTGAAGTTTCATTTCTCTATCAAAATGAGTAAATTTAAAATCATTTACAAATAAAATTGTAGATGAGAAACAAAAATCAAGAAAAAAAGAAAGAAATGAATGTGAAAAAGAGTTATGTGAAAAATATATGTGGTTTAAATAAAATGAATGTAAGAAAGAGATTAAGAATCGTTGGAGAAAGAGAGATGTCAGATTTTTCACATGGGAAAGAGAAGGTGAGAAGGACAAAATCGTCTGAACAAGCCTAAATTGTATAAAACTTTACTTTTATGTCCCATCATGGGTAATTGCCTAATATAGGCTTCAATTTTGGGCATTTGCCTAATTCTCTCTAAATAAAACCCTTCTCATTTTCTTCACTCTCCTTCCTCCTCCGCCATTAACAAACTCTCTCTTCTTCGGATGGATATTTGAAAAAAAAAAAGCCACGTGGAATGATTTGAAAACCTTCTGAATCAATTAGCCACGTTCACAAATGCAAAGAACGCTCTCACTTGCGGCTGCTAAGTCTTCTCCTTCACCTCTCTCTCTTCTTCCTCTCATGGCTAAGGTTTGTGTTTACCTCTCTTATCTATTCAAAGTTTTGTTCTTTACGGCTAAATATTTAAACTTTCATCGTTCTACTTGTTTTTTTTTTGTCTGATGCAGTTACAGTGCAGGACAATTCAGAATTTTCCAGCTTTATCTTCCTCTTCAATAGTTAGGATTGATAAAGTCTTTAGAAATGTATCTCAGTTTCAGTTTAAAAGAGAGAACGCAAATTGTTTTAAGCTAACTTGCGCAGTTTCTTCGATTAGTTCTGTTAGTTATGCTGCGCATTGGAGCGGTTTAAGTTTAAGGTCTTTTGGAAGTAGTTACAGAACGTTTCCAGGGAGATGTTTTTCTCAAGTCCCTAATACTGGAAATAAAGATAAGAAGCGGAAGAAGCATGAGGTTTTGGCTTCCTCTGGAGTTGAAGTTGTGACTTCTACTGAACTGGTTAGTAGTGGCATCAAGGTGGAGTTATCAACTGCAGCTTCACCTGTTAGGGATGGTGAGAAAGTCTCTAGTGTTAAACCAAAACGGCGCACAAAGAGCAAGAAAGTTGAAGATAAATCTGCTTCAGCGGTTTTGGTTTTGGAGGAGGTTTCTGTAGAGGAGAGTTTGAAGACTGTTATCAAGCCGAAACGTTCTGGTTCTGGAAATAGGAAGTCTTCGTCTGTTAAGGTATTTGAACTTTTAAATGTTTGGGGCTTAAAAAGTTTCACTCTTGTGTATTTTACCTGACATTATAGTTCTCAGAAGGAGGTGGCAAAAGATCCAACTGTGGAGGAGCCCAAAAGTTCTGCTCCATCACATTCCAAGTCAACAGAAGCTAAGCAAGCCTCTCCTGTCAAAACGAAACGGCGGCCAAAGAGTAAGAAAGTTGATGATAAATCTTCTTCAGCAGTATCAGTTTTGGAGGAGGTCTCTGTTGAAGAGAGTTCAAAAATTGTTCCCAAGCCAAAAAAATCTGGTTCTGGAAGTCGGAAGTCTTCATCTGCTAAGGTATTAAACATTTAAAATATTTGGTACATACCCTTGCTTATGTTATCTAACAGTACTGTTTTCAGAAGGAGGTGACAAAAGCTCCCATTGTGGAAGGAACCAAAAGTTCTTCTCCATCTAAAAAGAAGCAGGTTCCTCAAGCTCAACCCATGCAAAACGTCATAGAGCATCGAGGTCAAAATGCTTCTAAACCACTTTTTCCGCCAAGTGGAAAGTCTGTTATTGTCGTTGAGTCAATCACAAAAGCAAAGGTTATTCAGGGTTATCTTGGTGACATGTATGAGGTTTTGCCAAGTTATGGTCATATCAGAGACCTGGCCTCAAGGTCTGGTTCAGTGAGGCCAGATGACGATTTTAGCATGGTTTGGGAGGTTCCATCTTCCGCTTGGACTCATATTAAGAGCATAAAAGTGGCATTAAATGGGTACGTTTACCTATATGATATGATCTCCTTTCCTATGTTTTGGTTGTTGTTGTTGTGCTTCTCTATCTCATTATGTTTACCTTATTCCTCAGAGCTGAAAATCTGATTCTTGCATCGGATCCAGATCGTGAAGGAGAGGCTATTGCCTGGCACATCATTGAGATGTTGCAGCAGCAAGGTGCTTTACATGAGAGCATGACAGTAGCAAGGGTTGTTTTTCATGAAATAACCGAGTCAGCCATAAAAACTGCACTCCAATCCCCAAGAGAAATTGATGGGGACTTGGTACACGCCTATCTGGCACGGCGTGCTCTTGATTATCTAATCGGGTTTAATATTTCACCTCTACTTTGGAGGAAACTTCCGGGTTGTCCATCTGCTGGGAGAGTCCAGTCTGCTGCTTTAGCTCTTATATGTGATAGAGAAAGTGAAATTGACGGATTTAAACCTCAGGAATACTGGACTGTAGGGATCAAAGTGCAAGGGAAAGATAGTTCATCCACTGTTTCAGCTCACTTGACCAGTTTAAATTCAGAAAAGTTAAATCAGCTTTCTATCAGCTCTGAAGCAGATGCACAGGATATTGAGCAAAGGATCAGATCAGAAGGTTTTCTAGTGAAGGGCATTAAGAAAAGCACTACACGGAGAAATCCACCAACTCCATATATAACATCAACCCTCCAACAGGATGCTGCTAACAAATTGCATTTTTCATCAGCATATACTATGAAGGTTGAGAAACTGAATTTATTCACGTTTCATTGAGTCTATGTTTCTGATAATATGTATTTTTCAGCTTGCACAAAAACTATATGAGGGTGTTCAACTGTCTGATGGTCAATCAACTGGTCTTATAACATACATGCGGACAGATGGTTTACATGTGAGTAGTCTCTATACTTTTGTATTTTCTGAACATTCATTTTTGTTTAGACTTTCAAAATCATTACTGCCTGATTCAGCTTGCTATCCGTTACAACTTCATTTTGATTTTCCTTGATTTATTTGTTTAATTTTTCGTTTGTTTCTGTTCCCACCAGATAGCTGATGAAGCTATTAAAGATATACAGTCCTTGGTGGCAGAAAGGTTAGACATGTAAATGCATTTGTGAAGTTATTACATTAGGATGTTTGACTCGAGAGAACTTTAGCAGCTATTTACTTATTTTCTGCAGGTATGGGGAGAAGTTTACATCAGATGGTCCTCGTAAATATTTTAAAAAGGTTAAGAACGCTCAAGAGGCGCATGAAGCTATTAGACCTACCAATATACGTAGATTACCCTGTAAGTAAATAATTTACCACTCTTTCTTTGGATTTAAGATTGATTTTAGTCATCACTAATAGTTTACCATACAATTTATTGTCATAACTCTCAACATCTCTGTATGCATTTACAGCAACGATTGCTAGCCTGCTTGATGCGGATTCTCTAAAATTGTATACCTTAATATGGTCACGAGCTGTGGCATGTCAGATGGAGCCTGCTTCTGTTGTTCAGGTAACATATGTGTTAATTTTCACCACAAATCCTGCATATAGTTTCAGGTAGGTTCTTATAAGTAATTTGTCTAATTTCTTTCTGACTCGTTTCTTTATCAGATACAAATTGATATTGGAAACGCATCTGAATCCATTATCTTCAGATCATCATGCTCAAAAGTCGATTTCCTTGGATACCAGGCAGTTTACGAGGTACAACCCTTATTTCATATTGTTGATGATCCCTAAAGTTTGGCTTTAGGAACTATTTTCGTAATTTTGTTTCCTTCTTTTGCTCTGGTTGTCATCTGCAGGTAGTTTGACTTCTTTTTCCTATATAGAAATTAATTTTGTCTGGTATCAGTTAATGAGAGATCCTTCTTCTGTTTGGATATGTGCTAAAGAAGTTTTTGTTGTAGGACCCTGAAGCTAAGGCAATCAAAACCAAAGACGATGATAAGAGTAGTGAGCGGGAGGAAACTTTTGAAACGCTCAGTTTGTTGAAGGTATTATTCCGATGATCACAACCTTTTTTTTCACCTGGGCTTTTACCGTGGTTGTCATTTCTTTATCCTCTTTTCAGGATGGGGATCTGCTACATATTGGTGAAGTGGAGCTCAAGCAGCACCATACTCAGCACCCACCACGCTATTCCGAAGGGTCACTGGTATGTCATTCCAGTTTCCTTCTTGTCATAAGTGTCTAAGATCAAATTCCACATTTTGTTTTCCATCAGTGTAGGCTCTTTTTGTAATTAGCAGTCACGGTGAATTAGTTTTCTATAGACGAAGAGGAAGATATATGATTAGGAAATGAGAAACTGACACTGTTTTGTTTATAAAAAAAGTCCGTTCTTTTTCTGCCTTCTTGATTCTTTTATATTAATCTAGCTTACTTTTCCTAAGTTCAAAACTAAATTGTTCTGGAAACTGAATACGTCAGACGTGTAATGAAATCTGATACTTCACATTTTCGTTTCCACTAGCTCATTTTAGTTCCCGTTCAGCTAGATAACACTCTCACTGAAGCTTAAACACGATGTTTTCATATTTGTTAAGTTAAAGCTTGATCATAAATAGTTCTTTAACAATAAGTCATCTCTGTTTCAGTAAGATGGTAGCTAAGCATGAACTGATAAGTGGTTTATTTCTGTATGCTTGCTGAATTCTGGTGGTTAAGCAGAGATATTAGGCATGATACTTTGTAATTCTACTGCCGCCAGGTTTTACCATGCATAATTTGTTATACATGTTTTTATGTGATTCAGATTAAAAAGCTCGAGGAGCTCGGGATAGGTAGACCCTCGACATATGCATCTATTTTTAAAGTTTTACAGGTATGTGCTTGTGTTAAGAAAGTGGTATGTTGTTTTCTAGTGCTTGTGTTTCTTGCTGGAGGTTAAAGAGACTCTAAAGTCACCTGAAACTAGCAATACCCTTATTTCATGTGAAGCATAAACTCTAGCATTTTGACACCTCTTTTTGTTTCACAGGACAGAAAGTACCTAACAGTAAAGAGCCGAGTACTGTATCCGGAATTCCGAGGGAGGATGGTATTTTCCTCATTAATTAAGCTCGCTAATTGATGATTTAGTAAACAAACCATCCCAACGTTATCTTTCTAACCTCTGTACTATGTTTCCAGGTTTCAGCTTTTCTTACCAACTATTTCACCGAGGTCACAGACTACAGTTTTACTGCTGATATGGAGACTGAGGTGGATTTTTAGTTTGTTCTTTACTCACTCTGTATTAACTATAGCGATTTCTATATATTCCATAGATATTTTACACTAATTCAAGTTGAGATACTCATTTTTTTTTCCTTTTGACTTATTTTCCTTTCAGCTTGACAACGTTTCTGGTGGCGTTACTAATTGGAAAGGTCTCCTAAGAGATTACTGGACACGATTCAGCGCGTATTGTAAACGTGTCGAAAGTGTCCAAATCCAACAGGTACGATGAACTCTTAAAGTGTTCTGCAATTATTAAAATTAGATATTTACATTGTTATACATTTACAGGTGGAGAAAATGTTGGAAAAAAAATACGAGGACTTTATATTTTCTTCCCTTCCTGATCCAACCAGGACTTGCCCGAGGTCTGAATACCTTTTTTTCCTTCCACATAATCTAAGTTAACCAGTTTCAAGATAGAGCATCTGCTTTATAATTTTGAAGAAACCATCCTTTCATAAACGGCAGCCATGCTAATACTTTCACACTTCTGCTAGATTGTGCAATGATGTATAGTTTGATTTAGTGTATGGTTCGGTTTCGTTCCATATTTCAGTTGTTCGGAAGGCACCTTGATTTTCAAAGTTAGCAAGTTTGGTTCGGGGTATTTCATTGGTTGTGATGGCTACCCTTCGTGCAAGTAAGTTGCAGGCTGTTGAATCTACACCTGAAGCTATCAATGTTATTATCATTGTCACTGATATATTTTGAGCTATGTGGTTCATGTGCAGATTCATTGCCAAAACACTTTATGGAGAGGATGAAGATGAAGATGATTCTCCAAGGAATACCTGCGTAGAAGAGCCCAAATTGCTGGGTCTTCATCCCAACACCAATGAGAAGGTCTCCCTGTTCTTCACCTGTTTTGTTGACAAGTTGTTTTACAACTTTAATTTGCTTAATCCATTTCCGTGTTCAGGTTATTTTAAAGTGCGGCCCTTATGGGTATTATGTTCAGCTTGGTGAGGACAAAAAAGGTCACTTACCAAAACGAGCAAATGCAGCTCATGTACGTACTTAATAAAAGTTCAGTGTGCATATGTGTGCCAGTAATGTCTTGGTATAATGTTTACCTTTCTCTTACTGAAAATTCTCTTGCAACCTTGCTTTATAGATAAAGGATGTGAGTTCTATTACGCTTGAAGCTGCTCTCGAGTTATTACGCTATCCTCTGACACTGGTAAGACGGATTTGAAGGTTAAAAATTATTGTGTTTTCTGGGGGCTGTTTTTAACTTTTTGGAGTGCTAACGACTTGGTTTGCTGATTTGTGACTAGGGAACCCACCCTGAAGATGGGCAGCCTGTGACCTTGAAGCTTAGTAAGTCTGGATTTACGGTTCGACATCGCCGCACAATGGCTACTGTTCCAAAGGTATAACTATGTACTGTCATATGATACGTTTGATTTAGTTAGAATTAGAGGATCATTTATTAGTTGATGTTGGTCTTATACATGATAAGGAAGTGAAGTGTGGATCTGCATCGATAATATGATATGATGTATTGCTGTCTATGTTATTGCATGAATTCACATTCAAAGGATTATCGTTTTCATTGTTGATAACTTTGTACTTGGCAGAACACTGAACCAAGTGAGGTTACTTTAGAGAGAGCAATGAAACTCTTGTCTGGCAAAAATGTGAGATTGTGTGGCAGACCTAAGAGGATCAAGCCAACAGTAGATGTGGAATCAGAAGGAGATGAAGAAGTTGTGGAAGTGATGTAATCTCTAACCCACGACAGAGAAACCTTTGGGCTATATACAATTGGTTCGTGAGTTTATACGAATAAGGAGCATTAGCTTTATTTGAAAATTCTTTTTGGTAAGCAGAGTAATAAACTTAAGATTGGATACCATTGTAGAATTACAACACATTTGTTAATGATATGAAACTTTCATTAGTTTTGTGGAAGTGTGTTATATTTGCTTTTATGTTAAGGCAGACAAAAAGGTTCATCTTTGAATCCCTTCCATGCTGCTCTAGATGGTAAGTTAACTATAATCATATATACAATTTGAACATTTTATATTAGGGAAAAACACTCTACGGCAATATACATTGAGCATGCAAATTCAACTGCTTCTTTCATGAGTATATATAGCTTCTAAGGTTATGTGCAACTTCTGGTGAAACATGGATTGTTGATTTCTGTGCAGATAAATTTGTTCATCACGACAAAACTTGAGATTTCAGAGGTTACTGAAGCACTGTCATAGAAATATCTTTCATTTGTTCCTGCAAATGGATATTGGAGAAGAAGTTATGAGTTGTGTAAAAGGATTCAAGTTTGAAAATGCATATCTTTGTATTGGGTTATCAGTGCTTACAACTTGGGGGAAGAAGTTTGACTAAAGGTGGGGCTTGGTCCAGGGCTGTTGATGACTACTGCAGACTGACTTGATTCTTCAGCAAGTGCTCTTAACCTGTTGAGCTCTGGCAAGATAACTGTGGAAAGATCAGGTCTGTCTTTCCTCCTTATCTCTGCACACTTGAGAGCCAACTTGGCAAACTCTATGGTATCTTCAACAGGCCAATCAGAGACAGATGGATCAAGCACATCTTTCAAATTCCCTTTCTCGAGGGCACTCTCAATGTAACGAGTTAGACCCATTGGTGGTTTCCCTGTTATCATCTGCAGAAACATAACGCCGAGTGAAAAAATGTCAGACTTCACACCCAGCATACCTGTCTGCTGATACTCTGGATCGATGTAGCAAAACGTGCCAGCTGTTGATGTCATGCGGTATTGCGTCACGGTGTTTGCAACCGATGGAGGGACCAGCCTAGCAAGGCCAACATCAGCAACCTTGCTGACAAAGTTGCGGTCTAGTAATATATTTGCAGGGTTGAGATCACGGTGAACCAGTGGTTCTGGTTTAGTTTGGTGAAGGTACAACAATACAGTGCCGATCTCTGCAGCGATTCTGAACCTAGTTTGCCAAGAGAGTGGTGGGCTGTCTCCTTGTCTGAAAAGACGGTCTTCTAAGCTCCCATTGGACATGAACTCATATACTAAACAACCACCTTCTGAACAGGCTCCAAGCAGAAGAACCATATGAGGGTGTCTCATGCAGCTCAACACTTCAACCTGTGTTTTAATTGTTAAAACAAAACTTAATTAGAGTTAGATGCTAATAAGAGCTGCATGAGTTTTTAAAGTTGTTTCTTCACCTCTTGCTTAAACTGTGACCTGCCTTGAGCTCCATCTGTGTGCAAAGCTTTCACAGCCACAGGTGTTTGATCCAAATAACACTTGTAGACAGGTCCATAACCTCCTTCTCCTATCTTATACTTCTCATCAAAGTACTCTGTTGCATCCTCAATCTCCTCAATGGAGTACTTTCTGTATCTAACATCTGCATGGGCTAAAGCATCCACAGCTTTTCTTTTCTCCTCAGTCTCCTTGAGAACTTTCATTTCTGCACTGATTCTCTTTTTAGACTCCATTTCAGCAATCCTTTGAGCTGCTTCAGCTGCTTCCAATGCAGCTTTGGATTTTGCTTTCTCCTTCTCTGCAATGGCCAACGCAGCTTCCTCTGCTTGCTTTGCCTCTTCATACTTCCGTTCCTCCTCTAACTTCCAGCGTTGAAGCTCCGTTGCCTGCAGGTTCAACAATTTTAAAGTAAAATGAAGCCACACACACCACTCATTGTCATAGGAAACTATACCTTCCGTTTTGATGTGAGTGCTTCCTTGCAAGCTGAACTGTACATTTCCATCGTTTGTTTCAACTCCAGCTTAAGCCTCCTCATCTCAGCCTCCACATCCTCCTGGTTTTTCCATAACAATCAGCAACAAAACCTGCAAAAAGATTCAGAGAAGAGGCAGAGTCTTACCCCTCCTTGAGAAGCAGATGAAAACCTTTCATTCTCAAATGAGTCTCTTGAGGAAGCAGGTGGTGAGCTTATATCCATTGACCCCTGTCCGTAGGTCATTGACTCAAAGCTACCACGGTCAAGGTCGGAGAAATTTGATAGCCTTGTAGGAGTCCGGTTTTGATCAGGAGTGTCAAACAAGGAAAGGGAGTGACGCTCAGTACTTGGTCTCCCAGAGCTTATAAATGATATGTCAGCATCTGGAATTGATAGGTCTCCGTATGATGCTCTCCCATTCAACCCTCTTCTAGTGAAAGGTGGCCTGTTTTCAACCAAAGAAGTTTCATTGTCTGATTGTGAGCATGTCAAATGAAAAAACAAGATATACAGTTAAGTCTCTATAAATTAATAATGTTGGGATTACACCGAAACTATAATTTTTTATTAATTTATAGAGATTATTAATTTATCGATATACTAAACGAACCAAAAAATCATTTTAAGACTATAAAATTATATTATTTAATAGAGATTTTTAGTGTATATTAATTTATAGAGTATTAATTTAAATAGGTTAGACTGTATGTCTACCTGGAGGACTCAGATTGATCGTCAAGGGACCTGCGCTGAGAGTCAAATGATTGTCTCTCTGCTACAGCAAACAAGAAACAAACAAAATTCAGTGTTTGCAGGAGACAGACATGTGAAGAAGCACTAAAGAAAGCCATATTTTAAACCTCTTGTGTTATTAGTTGCAGGAGAAGGCAAACGTGGATACTGTGGCCTTGTGCTATTCTGTTGAATCTCAATGCGCAATGGAGAAACAGAAGGTGCAGTACGAGAGGCTGGTCTCTTTGTTGAAAGCTTTCCTTTGGTTATGACATAAACTGTGCAGAAATCTGGTGCATTCTTTGTAATCATTACTGGAATATCTGTTGGTTTGTTGAACCTGCAGCCCAAATGTTGACACCATTTCTGGTTAAAAAAGATCCAAAGCCAAACTCTAAAGAGAGAGAGAGAGAGAGAGAGAAACACACCTGAGAAAGCCTCCTTTTGATGAAGCACCAACCACCAATACCTCAATGATGACCTGATTTGCATATTCAACTAAAGCTTTCCCAACATCTGAATCCTCCAACAACACATCTTTGCATTGTATCTAATCAAGTTCCAACCATAATAAGCATATTGGAAAAAAAAACACAAGAGAACATATAAAACCAATGTTCAAGAAATCGCTAGGCGGCTCTTAGATGCTTTATATAAAAATCTTCAAAAATTGGTATAGAGATCAAGTTTTAGAACACTTTGTGAAACTGTTTGGACTCACTTCTTTGCGTGAACAGAGGCAACGAAAGGGAAGGAACAACTGTTTGTAAGAGCCGTCTGGTTCTACAGTCACCACTTGAGAATCACCATTTGTTTGGCTTGTCTCTGACAAAAAGAAAGAAACACAAACAACCCATCAGCTTCCAAGAAAGGACAAAAAAGAAACAAAAGTTTTTTTCTTACTAGAAGAGTTTGAGTTAGTAGAAGGGTTTGTTGAGGCAGAGGAAGCACGAGGCTTGACGTGGACGAGAAGTATGGTTTGGCCTTTCTGTAACAAATTTTCAACAGCCCATTTAAGAGCATTTTGGCTGCTTTTGTCTTTGTCTATCGCCACAGCAACCAAACCTTCCGTGCCAAATCCTCCATCTTTATCCCTTCTGTTCCTTGCCATCCAAGTATCTCTAAAGAACAAAATATATTGCGTGTGTTGTTTAGATTTCTTAAATTGTTTTCTCGTTTGTAACTTTTCAGAAAGGGAAAAGGGTATGAAGAAGAGAAAAAGATGTTTCTATAAAAATCCATCACCTTTGTTTCTCTCTCACTCTGTTTTGAGCGCCTCTCCTTCTTCCCCGCTTCTCTATACTTAAACTTCCTATCAAAATGTGTGTTTTATATTTTACCCACACAAGCGATTCCTTTTCTAGCACGCAATAAATCTAGAAGTATTATAAATATTTGGTTCAATAAACTGAGCAAAGGGACTTCATGGCCCAATGGATAAGGCGCTGGTCTACGAAACCAGAGATTCTGGGTTCGATCCCCAGTGAAGTCGTATTTTTCTTCTTTTTTTTTAAAACTCTATCACCTTTTTAAAGTAACTTGCCTATACAAATATGTTTTCTGCTACAAATAGTAGTCCCAGATTTTTGAAACACTACAATATTACACGATTAGATAACTCCAAGTCTGCAACGAAGCAAAGGCCTAAACATTTACAATATCTTTCTGGTTAAGATCATAAACTTCTTGTACGTCTACAAATCTTAGGAAGGAAATGTTTACAGTGGAGAAGAGTTAACTTTGCACTATAACTTTACATTGGAGAAGCTTTCACAAATTATCAAATAATTTGAGTTAAATTGTTTATATTTTCATTTCTTGAAGATACACTTTAAAATTAAAAATTGGCCATTCACTTGTTTATTCTTATCTTTTGTTGAAATAATCAATCTATATATAATGGCAAACCATTTCTTTTTATTAATCGCAGACGTATCAGTTTTTATAGTAAAAGAAAATATTATATGTGCGGGTATATGTGTGAGAAGCCATTGGTTAGATCGATCTTGTACGACTTCGTCAAAGATCTTGGTGCTTGGCTCTACTTTTGGGGATCCAACGATCTCGGTGACTTCATCAAAATCCTCAACGACATCAGGCTAGTGCACGCATCTCTCTCCTTCCTCTTCTTCCTCCTCTCAATCAATTTCTTATATGACATTGAAGAGACTATAGGAGTCTGTGATAACTTCCTTTTTGCTGGGTACGCCTTAATGATAAATAGCAAGCATGCGTCCGTTGGAGAAGAGTTAACTTTGCACTATAAGTTTACATTGGAGAAGCATTCACAAATTATCAAATAATTGGACTTAAATTGTTCATATTTTCATTTCTTGAAGATACACTTTAAAATTAAAAATTGGTCATTCACTTGTTATTCTTATATTTTGTTAAAATAATCAATCTATATATAATGGCAGTTTCATCAGTTTTTATAAAAAAGAAAAGAAAAATATAAAGGTGGAGATTAATTTTGTTTAGAACGAAGGGTATGACGACGTCGCTTTAGCAATTGATGTTAATTCCCTAAGAAAATTATAGAAATTATCTTTTCGTTAAGAGCTATATCTTTTTACACGCAACATTTCAATAGAATTGTCATCATCTTCCCTTAATAGTTAAGAAGGTTGTATATTGAAGAGAGTATATGTTTTCATAATTGTTTCAAGTTTTCCAATCTATTTCTCATCTCTCTGTGATTCCGCTACATAAAATTTTCTCTCTCTCACTTTCTTTGTTTCCTAGATTTCAACCTTCGTTAAAGTATTGTTAATTCTCTGAAATTCACTATTATTAAATATATTCCCTTTGGATTTTTTACAATTACAGTTAGCATATTTCTACTTAGATGGCTTTGGTGTATGCTCCACATTTATTGTTTGATTAGTCTTTTTAGGATCCACGATCTAGAACAACTCAATCTAACTTAAAATCGAGAATGTATTTTTCCAATCCAAATATCCATTATCATAGAGAGATGCCAATGAATAGAAGTAATGATATTTTGATTTAACAAGTTTCCAAAATGTAGATACTTTGATATAAAATGTTTAAGATGTAACAAGTTTCCAAAATGTAGCTATAAAATGTTTAAGATGTAACTGAATAATTGCATAGATCTTAGATGTATACAAAGGAAAAGTTGATTAAGTGGAAAACACTTCTTCATTCCTTAATTTAACATATCTTTTTATAGTTCATACAAATTCTTAATTTTTGTTAAATAAAAAAGTGTTTATTGTTTGACCAGTGAAAATTGAAAGTAAGATAAAATTGACAGAAAATGATATTTTTCAAAAAAAAAGCTCAACAAAAGGAAGCTATAAAATGTTATTGAATCCCACTGGTGGCATATAGAGCTCCAGCTCCAAGAGGTTCACGATGCATTTCAAGATTACGGATTTGAGATTGAAGAAGTGCCAGAAGCTCAACTCATCAAGGCGGTGGTCAAGAAAACATTAGTAGAAACTTAAAATCACATGTTCAATAAAAGTGCATTTAAATAAATAAAATACATGTCTAAATAACATAAGAGTTATCATTTTAATGCAAATCATTTCAAATTTTAAATTAAATCCGCATCTAGATGAATCAGACCAACTTAACAACAACAACAACAACAAAATGTTACATGTTTATAAGATTACTCATCTGGAAAACAAAACATGGAAAAAAAAAAAATATATATATATATATATATATATTAAGTTTGTTTATTTTCAACACAGTGAAGAGAATATTTATTCCATTCAATTCACTAAAATTATAAATAAGATTAAATTTCATATATCTTAGAAAAATAGAAACAAAATACAGTAGAAATTCTATAAATTATAATACTCGATAAATTAATATAACACAAATCAATAAGATAATAACAACATAGAAGATTCCATGTAAATATATATATAGTCTCATTCATAAATTAATAACCTATATATAATTTTATATAAGTACATCCTCTTTCTCAATCATCACCATAATCTGGGATTTATTCAAACGTCTTGAAGCTCTGTTTTTTTCTTCGGAAGCTGGTCATGATCTCATAAACAACATGATGCTTTGGCTGCTAAGTGTGTTAATACTGTAGTTGTTTTGTAAAAGCTGTAACAAAGCAACTCTTCTATCAACTGACTTCCGTAGGTCAGTAGGTCAGTCAAAATATACAGATATCAAATGTTATGGTCCTAAAATAACGCAACAAACTGAATTTAGCAAAAGAAAGCAAAAAAAAAAAGAATTTTTCATGTAACACGATCTGTGGTTGATGAATCTTCCAAATGATCAGGGGAGCTCATCCGGGTGATCCTGAAATCTTTCTGATTTTAGAGGAACCAATAAGCTCATGTTCATACCATCATCGCGTGAGAGAATGAGGGTACCCATGATCCCAATATTTCTTTCGCACATGTCTAGAGAAGCTTCAAATCTAGCAAATCTACCATAATTCCCTTGCAGTTCCATCTCTCCCTAAGCTTGTTGAAGCAGCTCCAACCCATCCAGGTTCTCCTCAAGCACGTCGTCATCATCTTGCAGCATCATGTGCTCTTCACTGAGGTTCTCATCAGCAACTTGCAGTTCAATCCCGCCATAAGCTTGTTAAAGCAGCTCCAACCCATCCATGTTCTCCTCAGGATGTACTTTTCGAGAATGTACTTTTCCAAACCGAGAATGTACTTTTCCAAACCGAATATCCATATTATAGAGAGATGCCGATGAATAGAAGTAACGATATTTTGATTTAACAAATTTGCAAATGTAGATACATTGTTTAAGATGTCAGTGAATAATTGTATAGATCTTAGATATATACAAAGGAAAAGCAAATTAACTAGTTCAAATTAATTATTCATTCCTTAATTTAACATACTTCTTATATCTTGATTTGAGATTGGAGAAGTGCAAGACGCTCAAGCTCATCAAGGCGGCGGTCAAGAAAACATTAGCAGAAACTTAAAATCAAAAGTTCAATAACAGTTCATTTAAATAAATTAAATACATGTTAAATAACATAAGATTTATCATTTTAATACAAATCATTTTAAATTTTAAATTAAATCCGCATTCTAGATGAATCAAACTAATCTATCGACGACACCACAAAGAAAAAAAGAGAGAGAGCAGCGAGAGAAAAAGTGAACCTTGCGTCCCCTCCCCTCCGGTGACTAGAGCTTGTCTCAGTGTAGGATCTGTGTGGGGAAGGCTTTTTGGCTTGATTTTTTTTTATCTCAGTTATTTTGTACTTTGTTGTGACTAGATGAATTTGGGAAGCAGATCTATATCTTAGATCTGGAGTCTTGGTTGAAGTACAACAGTGGTGGATCGTTCCCCTCCGGTGAAGCTTGGTTTCCTTGCTTCTTATGTCCTTTGTCTTTTAGGGTTTGTCAGCAGGTCGATGGAATCTTGCTCCTTTCCGGTTGGTGGCTCTTGAATCCGGTCTGCTAGTGCGTTTATTCGGTTGCTTCTAGTGGAGATCCCACCGGATTTGAAGATCTTGGGTTCGTTTGGTTCGATGTTTTCTGAGGTGTTGATGGTTTGGGTTCTTACAGAGAAAAGGCCAGGGTGAATCTGAAGAAGCCGGCTAGGAGCTTCGAGGCGTGTTACTTTGCTGTGGGTGAAGTGGTGTTTGTGCGCTGAAGCTCGTCGTTTGTTGGGTTGCGTCTCCTCTGATCTATTGCTAGGAGATAGATGTTATTGTCCTGGAGCGAATGCTCCAAGTTTGGTCGATTACCACTGATTTGGTCACTATTGTCTTGGATTTGCAGTGGTTTTTATCCAGTTACCGGCTGTGTGAATAAGACGTGTTTGGGAAGTTTTTATAGGCTTCGCCGTGGAATGATGGTGCGTATGAGGCGCGTGGAAAGTACAATCAAGGTCCAATTGCGAGTTTTAGTTGGGATTGAAGGGTGTATTCAGTGATGGTTAAGGATTTTAACCTCTCTTGATTCAGTTTTATGTGTTGGTGATGTTCGTGTGCTCTAGAAAAGTCCGGCAGTTGGGATTGACGGGTGTATTCAGTCTATCTCGATGATCTTTTCTTCTGGTGTTATGTGTGGATGAGTTCTTGTCCTTGAGTGTATGGTGGTGTACTCTTCTCCGGTAGTGATCTGGCCTTCCTTGCTTTAGTTTATGTTAGCTTCTTTGTTGTTGTTTTTACTCTTGATTTCGAGGGGTTTGTTTACCTCGTCGGCTTATGGTTCAGGAAAGACTTTGTTCTTTTGCCGGCTTTGTGTAATGCTCGGTTCTTTCAATATTAACCCAAACAAAAAGGATGAATCACACCAATTTAACAACAACAACAACAAAAATGTCACATGTTTATAAGATTACTCATCTGAAAAACAAAACATAGAAGATATATGTTTCCTTAATTTTTTTTTATTTTCAACACAATGAAGAGAATATTTATTCCATTCAATTCACTAAAATTAAAAATAAGGTTCAGTTTCACTATATCATAGAAAAATATAAATAAAATACAGTATAAGCTTTATAAATTATAATACTCGATAAATTAATTAGAAAAAATAGTTTTGAGTTGGATCAATTCAAAATATAACACAAACAAATAGAATAATAATAATATAAAAGATTCCATATAAATATATAGTCTCATTAAAATCATAAATTAATAATCTATATATATATATATATATAAATTTGTATATAGGTATAAATAATCAATTGTATTGTTTGTTTTATATTTACACTAGAGTTCATTTCTATTTTTCTTAAGATTTGGTAAAATTTTGATGTTAATTTTTCATTTTTGACTTAAAATACATCTAAATCTACGGTATGCAACCAAATGATCAAACAATAACAACATAAAATTTAATCAATTTATATACCGTAGAAACTAAGTAATTTTCATATTTATACATAAACATACTTTAAATATATAAAGAAGTATTATTTTTGTCAACAAATATATAAAGACGTATATATATTCTTCAAATGGATAAATCTATAAATTAATACAGTCAAAATTTCAAACATTAATAAATTATAGATTTTTCACTATAGTGAAGGGTAATCACTATTAGCTAGAGCGGTGGAGAGCTCGCAACTGGAAAGGCCCATGAAGACAATTACTTATTGGGCTTTAGTTAATGTTTCTATCGTGGCCCAGAAACAAAGGAGAGAACCTCAACTTCAGGATTAAGTAACTTTCATCGTCTTTTCTCAAATCATCACTGTAATCTGGAGATTAATTAAAAGCTCTCTCCTTAGTGATTTTTTTTTTTACCGGATTCTACAGAGATGGATCTTAATCTTGATGCGCCACACTCAATGGGGACGACTATCATCGGCGTTACTTACAATGGAGGTGTCGTTCTTGGAGCTGACTCACGTACCAGCACCGGTTAGATTGAGATTTCTTCCCTCTTCTTTACTCTTTTCTAGGTTTTTTTATTTATTTTAGAAACAAGCTGATTGAATTGGGGTTTTGTTATTAATTTTAGGGATGTACGTAGCGAATCGAGCTTCAGACAAGATTACACAACTAACCGACAATGTCTATGTCTGCCGTTCCGGTTCGGTAATGATTTAAAAAAACAAAAAAAAACTCTTTTTGCTTGCTAAGACTTTTTTTTCTTGCTAGAACTTTATTTTAGTGTGGCTGCATTTTTTTTTATTTTTGAATTGAATGTTAAATTTAATTCAAAGAAAAAAAAACTTGTTACATCAAGTGTATCCTATTTTGAACTATCTTCTATCCTCAATAATCATAAGCTACCACAACTTTTATGAATTGAAAAAAAAAAAAAAAATTCTATCTTGTGGCTGCATTTTATTGATTACCACAAGCTCTTGTTGTTTCTTTTTTGTAGGCTGCTGATTCTCAGGTTGTCTCGGACTATGTTCGCTACTTCCTTCACCAGCATACGTGAGTGTTATCATTCTTCCTTTGATTCCATGTCTTTATGATGCTTATAGCTATATGAAATTAGATAATTCGTTTGCAGAATTCAGCTGGGGCAGCCTGCAACCGTGAAGGTTTCTGCTAACCTTATCAGGATGCTCGCTTATAATAACAAGGTACATGTTTTTTGCTTTAAAGCTTGAAGCTTGGTTGTGTGTTTACTAGCAATTTAAACTCAGAATAGTGGGGAATGTTGTTGAAGAAAAAGAATGCTAGTGATATTCCATTTCTGCTAGGTTCCTTACTTATAGAGAGAAAAAAAAATGCTCTTAACGTCACTGGTAACTGTTGTGTAGAAGTGTTACCTTGCGAAACATGACAGCTTTTATTACTTAAAGATGATTTTTTTTTTGGGTCCATAGAGGTTGATGCTACATGTCAAACCTATTTGGCTAGTATTTGTGAATATCCTGTTGTTGTAATGATAGTTTTCTAGATTTTGAGTTGCTTGGTCTTTCTCATCAGTATCCACTATCCAGCCTAATGCATGATTTTTTTTCTTTTTTGTAACATGATTTTTTCTTCTAGAATTTCAGTTTTCTGTATTCTGAATATGAATATCCAGTGCGTTATTGTACATATGTTTCTTGTGTTGATTGTTGACTAAGGCATGGTATGTCTTTATTGTGTAGAACATGCTCCAAACCGGCCTCATTGTTGGTGGCTGGGACAAATACGAAGGTGGGAAGATCTATGGGATTCCTCTTGGTGGAACTGTAGTGGAGCAACCGTTTGCTATTGGAGGTTAGAAAAACAATTTGCTCTGCATCTTATGATCCTTGAAGCTGTATTCGTTCAAGTTTTATTTGCCATATACTTATATGATAATTAACTTTCCTGCAAATGACTAGTGGAATTGTGTGTGTTTGTCTAGGCTCTGGCTCTAGTTACCTTTACGGTTTCTTTGATCAGGCGTGGAAAGAAAACATGACCAAAGAAGAAGCCGAGGTAAGTCGGCTCAGATCATTATATCTGCATATCCAAAAATCTCACAAGATCCCCATTTGTGTTGTTACTGATCCTTGCTAATGTATATACCCTGTGTATTCTGCAGCAACTTGTTGTGAAGGCGGTTTCACTAGCCATCGCCCGTGATGGAGCCAGTGGAGGGGTTGTACGGACCGTCATAGTAAGATTTCACTCTAGCCATAACTCTCTTATATAACCTCTTTAATTGAACATAATTAATAAACTGCCTTTGATATTTATTTTGTGAACAGATAAACTCAGAGGGAGTGACAAGAAACTTCTACCCTGGGGACAAGTTGCAGCTATGGCACGAGGAGTTGGAGCCACAAAACTCTTTGTTAGACATCTTGAACGCTGCTGGTCCTGAGCCAATGGCCATATGATGCAAGCAACGATCACTCTCTTACTCTGTTACACAAACGGTTTAGATGTTTCGTTACATTTACCTATATGTTTTACTCTAAACCCTGTTTGAGCTTATTTTCGATTGATCAGATCCGTCTCTTTCAAATGGATATCGTGTACGTTACGGTTTAATGTTTTGATTCACTGTTTAATCAAGTTGGTAGGAACTTTGCTAACTTTCTCTGTAACACAACCAAGAAGATCATTGGTTAAAAAACAATAGATAAATCAGTAATGGCCGAATCTTTTACATGCTTTACACGTGGTTGAACAATGGGCACTTGGAACCTTTTTTAGACAATGTAGATCAAGTGGACAGAGTGGGAGAGACCAAAGAAGATGAGTATCTTGTCAGAGAAAGCTGGTCATGATCTCTTTGTCTATGGCAGTCTCCAGGATCCCCAAGTGGTTTATGTGGTTCTGAATCGCGTCCCTGATCATGTCTCCGCCGTACTCTCCGGCTTGTACGTCTCTCTCCCACACTCAGTCAACTTTTCTTGATTTCTTTCATTTTGAGGATGTTGATTAATGGCTTTTTCTGGTGATTTTTTTCAGTCACAGGTTTAGAATCAAGAATCGTCTTTATCCAACCATCCTACCAGACGGTACCGGAGAAGTCACCGGAAAGGTTCAGTCTCCTTGATTCACATGTTCTCATTTTTCTCTTGTATATAATAAGATGATGAACAAGAAATGGTTTTGTTCTTTGTGGGGGACTTTGTGATGTGTTTTAGTGTCTATATTGGTTTTGTTTCCCTCCTTGTTTTGTGTCTAATGATTGTGTGATTTGTTTTAGTGTAGAAATTGTTTTGTTACCCTCCTTCTTATGTGTCTCTAGTCCTGATTTTGAGGCTTCTCATATAAGAAAGATTTGAGAAATTTTAAAGAAGTTTGTTGTTTGTGTAGGTGCTAAAGGGCATAACAGATGAGGAACGTAAGTTGTTAGATGAGTTTGAGGATGTTGAATATGACAGAAAGGCTGTTGAAGTGGTGCTAACGGTAAATATTGTTTGGTTCAAGAACAACTAATTCTGGATTTTTGGTAGATAACCTCTTTATGCTTTTCGAACTGAAGGATACTTCAGAGAAGCTGCAAGTAGAAACATATGTATGGGCGAATAAAGATGATCCTGATCTTTATGGCGAATGGGACTTCGAGGTTACAATCTATCCTTGTTGATTTTAGAATCTGAAATCTGAAATATTTCATGATATTTTCCTGACTGTGGTAGGAATGGAAACGAGATGAGAGGGAAACTTTCATCACTGCCACAAAGAAATTTGTGGAAGAGAGGAAATTACCTGAAGCAAAGACGAGGATAGACACATTCAAAACGTTCACTAAGCAGGATACTTCTGCTGAGGATGGGAAACCTCTGGATTCGTAATGACATCCTCTATATATTAATCCTGGAGCATTCATAAATGCACAACTTTGAATAGCATGGTTACGTGTCAACCTCACAGCGCTTCTCAGCCTAAAATTTTTTAATGGACCAACTTAACTAGGAATGGAAAAACATAACATTTAATCTCTTGGTTATAGGACTATAGTATATAGCCACGCATTTCTTTATGTATAGTGGATTATTAGGTGCATTAATTAATCTCATTAATTGCATATATCTTGGTCGATTGAGTATATGTATGATTAGTTACCGTAGGATGCTTTTATTTCATAATGTATGCCATCTCATATCGAGCAATATATAAAAAGACTTCAATCGTGCAATATATAAACGAAAATATAATTATTTACAATTTATCCCCTATATTTTTATAGTTATATATTATATATTATATATTATATATTATATATTATATATTATATATTATATATTATATATTATATATTATATATTATATATTATATATTATATATTATATATTATATATTATATATTATATATTATATATTATATATTATATATTATATATTATATATTATATACAAAAAGTATTATAGGAAATTTAACATTTGGTATGATCACATTACATATATAATATTATATATTATATAGAATATATTGGAAATCGTATTTTGCATAAATTATACCCTTCTATAAATAAACTAATTTACAATTATTTGATCAATAGTCTTTATTTGCAATTTATTCTACATTGACATTTTAAATGTGAATTATATATGAGTTATGTATGCTTTGGTATATTCGTTTATATTTAAAAGTTTGAAATGAGATGGCATATTAATGTCATGATATATATTGTCGTATAGGTTAGGAAACTTAGTTATGACTTATAATAATTGTCGAAATCTGTATAAATCTTTTATATTACTTGTGCGTGAAGTTTGGTCATCATTTAGTTCTCATCATTAAATCATATTGTAACTAAAATATATATGGAATGAAATGTTTATAGCAATATTGTATATGTACCTTTATAATATTGATAAAAATTGGGAAGCAAATAATTTTCTACTCTCTCGATATGGTAAGTGTGACTAATCATAAATTCTTGACCTAATTGCCTCATTATGCACGTTTATTAAATTTACCATCTTTGGTTTACTTACATATTTATTCTCTCTTCGACCTAACTATATATATAAAAATGGACGTGCCCCTATAGATTCTCCATCAAAAACTATAGAATACACTAAACAATCAATTTCCCCGCAAATGGCAAGGTTTTTGGTTCTTTCAGATTTGCATGCAAAGACAGAAGAACATGCAATACGAGTTAAGATCGTCAGAAAATGGAATACCATGATAAGAGCTTACTGGCAGCTTGTGTGATGGTTTTAGGAGATGAGAAAGTAAGTGATAATTTGAGAATATGTTATGTAGCACTTTTAGTTTTATTGAGGTTAACCATATTGTTTATACCTATGTCTGTAGGGATCTACAATGGAAGCAACTTTGCCGCGTGATGTTGTTCTTCCAAAAGGAATCGATCTCAAAGAAGCTGATTGGTTTGAGATATATAATTTCAAATTAATTAGAGTCATCGAGTTGGTAAGACCAACAAGGAGCAAATACAGTATTAAGTTCACTCAGGCAACATCTTTCAGAAAGATTCAACCCATCGTTGATTCTAATTTTCTGCGGCTTGCGAACTTTACAGCAGTTTTCAAAGGACACTCGCATCCAATGTACTGTATTGGTATGTTGTGTATATTTTTGTTTGTATTATTATTAGTCAGTTAAAAAAGTCCTCTAAGATGTTTAACCTTTCAATTTTCATCTTATTTTCATTATTTGTTTAGATCTTCGTGGAGCTATGGTTGCTGTGGGGGAGTTGCAACAACTTCAGGAACTAGGACCTGGCGAGATATATTCTTATCAGAATACAAGGATGGAGTTCACTTTGGTTAATACAGAGTTCGAACCTCTCATTTTTACTCTTCTTTTAGTTTAGGACCTCATCTTAGTTTTTTCGTATACAACAACATGCTACCTAAACAATGCATTTCAAGTTAAGAAACTTAAGATGTGTTGCATATGGCAAGGAAGCAGTGACTTTGAGTGAGTACTACCATAACTCACGTGCTCCAGTGGATGTGTGTGTTTTGAGGGCCTGGAGAATCCATTGGGGAGAAGGTTAGCAATTGAAATGAGAATATATATTGCAGATAAAACTCACATGCATTTTTTATTTATTTTCGTAATATTTTTATATTTCATATGTAGGTGGTTTCCGATATGTAACCAACCTCGAAGGCTGTTCTCAAGTCGTATGTGATCATGACATGGATGAAATACAAAACTTCAAATCGAAGTAAGTGTTCTATGTTAATAATTGTATTTGTATTTGTATTTGTATTTCTTTAGAAGAAAAAATTAGAGTTTAGAGTATTTATGGTTCTCTTATGTTTTGTGCGGTTACATGATTCCTATCATAGAATAATGAATTCATTATTTCACACATGGAGAGTTGATCAGAATTGAAGACTTTTTGCTTTACTTAATACTCTATTTATATTTATATAGTTTTTTTGGTTTTCAACTTCTTTCTGAATAACTATTTATGATAATAACTATTTATGATAAGTTTTATAATTATGCATCTCAATAAAAAATAGTGCTTTTACTTATATAAGTCTTCAATTATTTTATTTTCTGCCACCAAGCATCCGTAAACAAAATTTGTATCGCAAAGTTAAACTGAAATATACACTCCATTCCTATTTTCTTAATCCCTACCTGGAAGGATTTCGATCTATCTTGGGCTACATTAGATAATACATTTATTGTTTTTATAGGTCTCAAAATGCTCTAAATTCTTCACTATAATAAAACGAACTCAATTTGTATAGGAAATACGATCACAACGGTATAATAAAACCACAAAATCCCCTATAAATGTAATTTCGTATCATGCATGTGTTATACTACATTTATCGCCCCGTTCTTATATATAGAGGATAGAATTTCCAAATCTTGAATCTTTTTTCCTGCAAACATATACATTTATTAGGTATTTCACTCCGCGCAGGGCGCGGGTTATCACCTAGTTTGGTTCTTATAGTGAGGTCATTGATTGCTTCACCTTTATTTGAAATAAGACTTGTGGAAACATGATAAAACTCAAGTGGAACTACTAGTAGAGATTGGCTTGCATGATCATGTAATCAGAAGTAACCTCTTATGATTAGTAATTTTATTGAAGAGTGACTTCTTTTTACTCGAATATTCTTTTGTTTGGTTTGGTTCTGTGTATGTACTGATGCATGTCTTCCTGTGAGTTGTGTACTGATTGGTCTATGTACTGATGTATGTGTACATTATGTGTGGCTGCCCTTTGCTCAAACTGGTATCATCGCTTGATTATGTGCTCATGACTTTAGATATTAATCTTTATAAAGAAGTAAACAACATGAGTCACAGAGGTACCATCACCACTAGTTTTGAGTTTTCCTAGGTGTATGGTTTGTTTACATGTGTAAACTTCTTGCTGGATCTTGCTGTCTTATAGTTAAATGGAACCTGTTCATATAATCACTAGTTGTACATTTAGTATCCTCGAGATCAGGTTCAGGTGATGATGATGACACATGTGTTATTGAGTGATTGCTTGAATATGGTGTTAACTCTCAGGGTACATATGTCATGTGACTTTTCCGTTTTATCAGATCTCGGCTTCTTAACCTTTGACTTTGACCACCCCTTTAACCATAGTTGAGAGGGAGGATACCAAGATCATTCCTTCTGATCTTGCCGTACTCTGTTGTGGATGGTACCGTTAATTGCATGTGATTTTCAGTAATGATGACTACTTAATTTAGAGAAAATGTGCATGTGATACTGTGACTAAGTTATTATATTCACTAATTAAGATACTTATTATAGCATTATGTGTAAAAGCATAGGATACTACTGTACGTTTTGTTAATCTATAACCAGTGTCTCAACTTGATGATTAAAAAGTACAATTCCGTAGGTACATACTCTCATCTATTCACACTTATTTTAATTGATGTTAGTTAGTTACTCACATTAGTTTATGTTAAACCTCTGATTACTTGGCATAACTGCAACATCATTCCACATGGGGTAGTTCCTAAAAAAACGGGATGCATTGGTAGAAACATGAACCTTTTGCTTTGGTTTGTATCAAGGTCTCCTAAGCCCTAACCATATGACCTAGTCCACGCTTTAGCCCATAAAGTATACTTGCCATTAATTGCAGCAACCACTTCTTAGCTGATGTGAGTTTGATTTCTACTTAAAAGGACAAATGTAGATGTTGAGAAAGTAAACTTAACTTTGTAACTTCTTTTTTTTAGATGTTTCTGATTATTAATTCTTACCTTGTGATACATTCTCATTCATGTGTCTGATTAGATGATTAACTTATGATACATCAGAATAACAGAGTTGATGAATTTATCACATAATGGAAGAGAGATTGTATTATAAGAGCTTTTAATGTTATCAACCTTTTCAGTGATCCTATTATACATTTTTATTCAAAAATCTCTCATTCTTTTTCTCTTGGAATAATAAAGTACACAAGGTCAAATCCCCAAGGGAAAAAGGTGGGAACATGGTGAAGAATGGTTCAAAGCAACAAACACATCAAAACACAAATACAAAAACTATCTGCACATTGGGCTGTGAGGTTGATGAGAAGGAGTCCTAGGGCAATCAGAAGGATGACGGTAAGTTATAACTTCATCAGTCGTCGCATTAAACCTACACTCATGTGAGGTCAGGTAAGCATCAGTCTTGTTATCCTCCATTATCTTCAAAATGCTCTCAAACACAGCAACTTCACAAGGTATCTTCAACACACCAGCTTGTTGAAACCCAAACTCTTCTTCTGCTTCACGCAACAGTGCATGGAAAGCTTGGTGGCTAAGGTAGTCCGTTGGTATCTTGTATCTCTTCTCCTCCTTACCCACAGAGACGGCTAAGTAGCCTTTAGGAACAGCTGTTACATCTGTGAAGGATAGAGTCCTCTTCAGAAACTTGATGCTCTTACTTCCAGTACTGCCACTTCCAGTTTTGGTTAGGTTGTTGTTGATGTCTTCTTCGTTGTTGATCTTGTTGTTCTTGGCTTGCTTTGATGCTTGAGCTACTTTTCTCCATTTCTTGAGGAGCTGTTGAAGCTTTACAATGTCTCTTATTTTGTTTGATTTCTTGGCTTCCATGGTGGAAACAGAAGAAGACATGGGGCTATGTTCTTTTTTTGTGTTTGATCTGATCTTTGTGTTGTGTTTTGATGGAGAGAGACATGGTGGGTTGTGGAGGTTAGGGAGATATATAGAGTTGTTGATGACATTTTGGAATCTTGTTTTGATTATTTTACAGATTAAAATATTTGACTAATCATATGCTTAGGGTTTTCTTAATACCCAACTTGGAAAACCTCGAGTGGTGTTACTTCTAGTTTGACTTTTTCTTAACTTAAGTAGTTATTAAGGCCATGTTAATTTATGCTTTTGATATATTGCGTTTTATATCCGCAATTTGTAAACACTTTTGTTATTGATAACACCGCCAAAACTACAAAAACTAGATGTAAAACTAAGTTTAGTGGTTCTACTATTTTATCTTTTTAAGTTTAGTTTATACTCTCTGTTACACAATAAATGAGTGTGTCTAAAAAAACAATAATTTTTTCATATTTTCCATATAAAAACAAAATTACATATACAACTAACCTTATTTCAACCAATAGAAAAATAAATTATATAATAAAATTAATAAATTTTACATTGAAAATCGAAAACAACATTTAATTTGTAAAGAAATTTTTTCTCTAAAACGACACTTAATATGAAACTGAAGGAGTATGTATTTGGTAAATGGTTTATACATTAGTTTAGTATTGCTAATTAGATATTAATGGAATATGTATAGAAAGGCCAAAACATCTAAAGTAAACATATAGCAGAAGAATATAAACCGTATTTATATATGTAATAGAAAGAAATCAACGAGACATGAAACATGGGGAAGGCTTCAATTTCCAAAGCAAACGGTTTCACACTTTTACCAAACACTTTCATTCAGTTCAGTTCCTCGGGAATCTAATCTTATACAATTGGATCTCTTTTTTTCTTTTAACGACCGATTGGATCTCTTCTTTTTTCTGCATCCAGAAATACACTTATAATATAAGTACGGATTAGCATAAGTTTTTTTTTTTTTTTTTTTTTTTGGTTAAAATGTTAAAGATTAGCATAAGTTAGATTGCATAAGCCTCACTTTACTAATTGTACAAGCTTTACATATCACTAACGACAAACAAAAATAGTTTTTTTTACCGACACATCCTTCAGAAGTCCCATTCGACGAACATGGAGGCCATGCCCGTGAAGACTTCTATTTCCACGTCAATGTTAGTGCAGTTTCATGTTTTAACTGCACCTCCCCATGTGAAATTTCTTACTTTCTCTTCTTTTTTATAGTGTGATTTTAGATGAGATCATTTCATAAGTTCGCATGTTGCTCTTTTTTTTTTGTAGTAATACTATATTGTTAAACAAAAATGTAATAGTTTGAACTTATATTGTAGATTTGTGTGGTTATGGCTTCAAGAATTAGTGATTTTGAAAAAGATGTCTCGACGACAAAACTATGGTTCGTTTTCTTTTTTAGATGCTCAAGTAAATTTTGTAAGTTTTACCAAAGAAAAAAAAAGTAAATTTTGTAAGTAAATAACCAACATAATTCTAAGGAAAGGATATTTGACCAATATAAAAATGAAAATATGATTGGCTTCAGCAACTGAAATCATATGTTCTTAATTGACAATATTCGAATTTATTTAGGCTCTAACTGGTGACCATTAAAATATGAATAGGAATGAACAGAAAAATAATAAGTAGGAATAAAATAAGAGGAATGGAAAGGAATATTTATTACTTTGGTTCCATATCAATTTTGATAAGGAATGTTTTTGTTCTATAATTCCTTAGAATTCAAGGAATGACAAGAAATCATACGCATGAAATATTCCTTATGAATGGTGTATTTTTTAAGAAATAAGTAGGAATTGATTATTCCCCTTCGTTCCCTATGTTACCATTTAGACCCTTAGTTTCTTTATGATGTCAACAACAAAGTCGGCTTAATATGTGTTCGTAAAATACATGATAAGAAGTTGACGCCGATTTAATATAATAAGAAACTTATCTTTAATGTGCCTTATTCAATATTATAGCATTCAAGTTTTCAGACTGGCGATGGTTGCATGTGCTGGTGATGAACAGGCAATGAATATATCAGCAACGATTACGCAGAAGCATTTCTTATAAACGTAAAATAATAATAGTATTAAAA